TGAAGGATCTGGAGCCTTTACTGGAAAGGAACCTTAGCTACCCTCCCTGTTCACACCAAACAGCACAACACCCACCGAGGCCTAATGTCTCAGCCCAGGCTCTATTTCACAATAAGACAGGAATATTAATCATAACAACTATTGGGTAGCAAGTATGAATGTTACTCTACAAACTTATGGATGCAAAAGTACCCATTCCTGCTCGGGCATGGTGGTGCACACCTTTAATGCCAGCACTTGGGAGACAAAAGCAGGCAGATCTCTGAGATCAAAGCCAGCCTGGCCTACATAGTGAGTTCCAGGCCAGCTGGGGCTACAGGGGAGACCCTGTCTCCAAAAAAAAATCCTTTATTTCATTAAAATAGAGTTGATTCTACAGAGCTCCCGTTCCTTCCTGTGTCCACCAGAATCTAGGGGGCTCCTTGCTATGAACTGAAGATGTCTACTGCCCAATTCACACACTGCTAGGGTAATATTAGTAGGGGATGGGCTTTTAGGAGGCACTGAGGTCGGAAGGACTCCTCCCTTTCTAGTGGAATTGGGTGGGCACCCTTACAAAGGGACTTGCTGAAGGGACTATTCCTTGTAGCCTTTTTACCTTCTATCATGTGAGGACACAGTGCTCCTCCCCTTCAGAGATGCAGCCTCAAGGCACTGTTTGAGAAGCAGAAAGTGGCCCTTGCCAGGCAGCAAGCTAGCCAGCACCTCACTCTCAAGCATGCCAGCCTCCAGAGCTGTGCTTTCCATTCTCCACTCTTCTGTGATAACAGCAATCATGGAAGACCATCTGAGAGGCACCGTAGTCTGTCAGTGCTGGCTGCCGACCTCCTCCACATCCTGTGCAATGAAGACGGCTTCCACGTCTCTGCATTGGGCCACAGCATGTCATCCCCTGGCTCATCCTCTCCTGGGTGCCTAGTGACCTCTGAGGAAGAAAACCTCTTCATCTCTGGTCTAACTGCCCCATGGGCCTTTCTCCTTACCCTCCCCCGGCACACCTCTTGCATGACTTCAGGCTTTTAAAAAATTGGGAAAATGTTAGTTTCTGTTTCTAATCCCTATGGCAATTTAGAACTAGAGATGTGGAGAAAGCAGCATTGATTTAATTTTTGCAGGTGTATTTTAAGGTATACTAAATACATCATTATATTTCATCATGGAACATTTTAATATTCATTGAAAAATAGGAGTATCTTAGTTAATCACAAAACTATTATTTTTACAGAACCAAATTAATAACTTTCTGATATCTAATAAATGAGTAGTCCCATGTAATTGAGGAAGAACTCAGACTCAAAGCAAATAAGTAACTTGTGTGTGTGTGTTTGTGTGTGTGTGTGTTACTGAAGATAGAACACAAAACCTTGTGTATGCTAAACAAGCTCTTTACTACTGAACTACCCTTCAGTCCTATAATCACATTATCAACCTTTAGGAAACAGGGAGAACAGACAGAGGAAAAAAGGAAAGTTTCACCCAAAGTGGTCCAGGAAGGGCTAGATGTGGAAAGGCTCCTGGGATGGGACAGCAGGAGGAGGGTGTTAGTTTCCAGATGCTGCTGACACCAGAAACAAGGCCTTCCCCACAACCCCAACAGGTGTGCTAGCGCCCATCTCATCCTTGGCGTTGCTTCCTTCCTCTGCTGATCTGCTCATCTCCCTTTCCAGCTAGGGCCTCCTTCATTTCCTCTCTTGTCTCCAAGGTAGGGTTTACAAAGTGACTGATCAGTGACCCTAGCTGGTCTTCTGTTCCTCTTATCCTCCTCTCCATTATGAGATGGAGATGTGCTAACAGTGGAGCCTCTGACCTGTGTCCTCTCCAGGTCCTTGGCTCATCTCCTTCTAGCATCCCCAAGGCCTGTGTTATCCTCCAAAAAGCACACATGGAAAATCCATTTACATCCAACAGCATCTGCTTCCTCTGCTCCAGCCCAGCTGTCCCATCCTTCCACATTGTTTCTCTAAACCCCTGAGATTCAGAGTCAAGATCCAAAATGGTTACAACAGACTGGAGAGCTGGATTAAAGTCCACATCACCAAAGGACAGGCCTGTAGTTATCTCAAAGACGCTGAGAGATGCATATAAAATGAGAGGTTGAGGGTCAAGCATTATCTAGCCCTGACGTCATTACCTGTGGCAAGATGGAGCATCCTGGAAAGAGAGCCAGCAGCAGGAAACCTGAGACCTGTGCCACTCAGACCACTACATAGTCAAAAGACATGAGGAAGTGCATGGAGTGCCATGTCCTCTCGGAATAAGAAGGTCTGTCCAGCTTCCTCATGGGCCTCAGTAAGGGCTCAAGATGCAGTGCAGTACAGCAGTAAATCTCTGATATTCAATAAATGTTAACTAAGTATAGTAACAACACACACAGTACATAGCTGGAAAGGATTTTTAGTATTATTTTCAGAAGAGAAGGAATTTAGCAGTTCCACAAACCTGTGGCCAACAGAGTGAACTACAGTGTCAGAATGGACAGAGCTAAACCAGAAGATGCCCAGCACTGAAGAACGTATGTCTCCTGAGAAACAAACGTAGAAAGAATTTGGGCAGATTTGGAAAACGTGCTGAGAACATTCTATGGAGCTGTTGAAAACACTATGACATCCATTTTTTCTACTTTCAGACTCCCACTGAAAAATCAGCTCTCCTGGGTCCCAAGACTTGTCAGTCTCCATAGCTACATGAACTGAGTCCTCATAATAAATCTCTTCCTAGGAGCCTGGGTTTATACTCAGTGCTAAGGTGCTTGTCTAGTACATGTAAGGCCCTGGGTTGCACCTCAAGCAACACAAAAGGTCTAAAAAATTTTTAAATGCACTTTTACTGGACATAGCAGCACACACTTTTAATCCCAGCACTCCAGAGGCAGCAGCAGGTAGATCCAACTGGTTCTTTTTTTCTGGAGAAAATTGATGAATATGACTCTCTCCCTGGCTTTCTCTCCTAGGCTGTCCCTTATTAAAAAGAAAGTGTGGACTGAGAAGCCCTCCTGAGTCTTCTTGTGATCCTGATGCTTCTAGATCAGAAAGGGCTAGTGGGGATAACTAATTTTGCAAGCAGTGTAGACTAACTTCTGGGCCAACATAAACCATCCCCACAAGCAGGAGAACTTTTAAAGCTCTCCTAATTCACATTGCCTTGGTTCTATATTCTCTCCACGGACAGGCTGAGCTGAGGGAATGGGGAACTTAAGACCCTGAATACTCTGAGGTGGAAGGCAATACCAGATCCCCCCTCTATGCCCCCCAAAGACACATATAATTGGGTTCTCTTTTTTCTTTTTTCATTTGTGTGTGTACATGTGTGTATGGATGTTTGCATGTGTGTGAGTATGTGTACGTGCAGGCATGTGTGCATGTAGATGTCCAAGGTTGATGTTGGGAATAATCCTTGATTGGTCTTCCACCTTATTCAATAAGGCAGGGTTTCTCAATCAAACTCTGAGCTAGTCTTACTAGTCAGCTTGCTCTGGGGAATCCATTGCCCCCACCTGTCAAGGCTGGGATTCCAGGTGGGTTGCCATGCCCACCTGGCATTCACATAGGTTCTGGGGATCTGAACTTTGGTCCTCAGGCTCACACAGCAGGTGCTTAACCACGTAGCCATCTTCATAGCCCCTAATGGGGTTCTGAGGACATTCCCATTTTGAGAAAAAGGTAGATCAAAATGAGCATTTCATACAAACTGGTCAGTAGCATCAGGCAAACCTGTTTTCTTCACTATATAGTAGTGTGAGTCTTGGGGACCATCTACCATTCTGTTCCATAGCTGAGGTGAGGGAATGGGGAACTTAAGACCCCGAGAGGGCATGGGAGATTTTGCCCATGGATTAGGTGAGAAGGGGAAAGGATCTGTCCACCTTAGAACAAAGTGAAAGGCCAATGTGCCTCAAAGAACATCCTTGGGCCTAGGAGGAGCCTGCCTGGCACTGGCCCCTGACAGCGAGCCCCATTGAACCTGACACCAGACATCAGATCACCCTTCTCACTGGGTTCTAGGAATTTCACTCTCCACTCAACCCTGCCACCAGAGGATGGAAAAATCTGACCCCATCTCAGGGAACAGGACATGACAGGAGACATGTAAGATGAGGAATCAGAGAGCTCTGGAGGGTGAATGCTGGACTCCACCTACTTTGTCAGTCAAATCTAGCTAGGAACATGAATGGTGCACCTACTACATGCAGGGCAGGGTTCACCTGTATGTGCGTATGTTTTCATGTGTGTGAATCATATTAAGCAGCATGCATAAAATGTAGGGCTTTATGAACTGTGCTCTTATCCAAGTCAAGAAATAGAAACATTACCAACATCCAAAATGCCCACCATACACTAATATAATTTTTATTATTTTGTTATTACAAATCGTTATTAGGCACCATGTGTACTTGGGTCCTCTGCAAGACCAACAAGTGCTATTAATTGCTGAGCCACCTCTCCAGCTCCCACTAATATAATTTTCATGTAATATTAATGACACTTTACAACTTAGAGCATGATCTTACTTATCTGTAAAGTTATCAAAGCTCTAAGAAGTCTGGAAACTTCCTGAAATTTTATGGTTCTACAGCTCTTTCTACCTTTTCACCAGCTTCCTAAAAATATGAGGACAACCTTAGAAATTTTTAAGGCCACTTATCAGTGTGCTGAACCTCAGGTCCCTTTGCTTGGAAGTTCAATGTTGAACAGTTGGCTGGTCTTAATGAAATCGGGGGCCTTATCCACCTCTATGTTCGGTGAGTCTCCTGTATCATTCAAATGGAAATGGAGGGAACTGTGGTCCTCTCAGCTAGGGTTTGTCCCTCCCAACCTTGCATTATGGATAGACTGAATTATCAAATAAATAATTCATGAGTAATCAAGGCAGTGAGGGTAACAGGAGACCATGGGTATCAGGAGGGCTGAGGTTGGGAACCTGAGCCAGACCCCTATCTTCCCAGGGCTGCTGTGCTCTGAAGAAGGGGATCCAAGAGTTGGGCAGGAGCCTTAGATGCCCTGATGGGTCCACAGTGGATCAGGGGGCCCTTCACAGACCTGCTGCTAATACTCTTCTGCCTTCTACATCCGGGGGACTCAGGTGAGTGATAATATGCACCTTCCCCATTGGTCCATTCCTCTCTCGCATCCCATTATTTCTTTCCCTTTCTTCTTGGGCAGCCTTCTTTGTTGCTCACACAGGCATTCAATGGCATCCATTCACACCATTCATCTGCTAGACATTTACTTAGCAAATACCAACTATGATAATTAATGTGCTGCTCCATCATTGGTTGACAAATCAGTGCAGCTGGGTGGAATGGTAAAGGCTACTGTCCTTTTCCCCTGGCTACAATAGGAGTAGAACAAACTAGCGTCTAGTCTGGAATCTCCTGGAATCCTTATAGAGAGACCTGCAGACCCTGGCTTGCAGTGACTGTGTGTTTCTCTTGTGTCCCAGGGTTGCCATTGTTAGCAGTCTAATCAGACTAATCAGACTGACCTTGGGATGCTTGTTAAAAATATAGACTGCAGGGGCTGGAGAGATGCTCAGCAGTTAAGAACACTGACTGCTCTTGCAGAGGACCTGGGTTCAGTTCCCAGCACCCACATGGTGGCTAACAACCATCCTAACTCCAGTTACAGGGGCTCCAATGCCCTGTTCTGACCTCCACTGTATGACACAGGTACACTTACATACATGCAGGCAATAGACTCATACACATAAAATTAAAATAATATCTTTTTAAAAATGGACTACAGGTTGAAGAGATGGCTCAGTAGTTAAGCAATCGTGAGGACCAGAGTTTGGATCCCAGCACCCACGTAGCACCCTTGTAATAAGCCAGGCCCCCACCGCAAACACCTGTCCCTCCAGCTCTGAGGTATAAAATACCCTCTTCTTCCGGGCTAGAGAGATGGCTCCGCGGTTAAGAGCACTGACTGCTCTTGCAGAGGACCTGGGTTTGACTCCCAGCATCCACATGGTGGCTATGAACCATCCTTAACTCCAGCTCCAGGGGAATCCAAAGCCCTCTTCTGACTTCTGTGGCATTGCTCGACACGGGTGCACTCACATACATGCAGGCAATGCACTCGTACACATAAAATAAAAATAACAATAAATAAAATATTTTTAAAAAATACCCTCTTCTGGCCTTTGCCTGTGCACCTGCACGCACATGTACACATACACTCACAAGGCACATGTGTGCATGCACACGTGTGTGCACACACAAATAAAAAATAAAATAAATCTTTTAAACAACAATAACAGTACAGACTCCTGGCCCCTGACCCCTTCCCATTACCCTAGGGGATTCTGATTCATTAATATTTGTGAATTTGTATTATCAGATAGTTTGATGAGGACAGGAGGGGGAAGGGGAGACCTCCATTCCAGGCCACCTCTCTGCTGTCAATTAAGCCCCCTCCAGAACATCCAAACAGGAAACCCCAACTAGCTCTCTCAAGGATTGCCTCTTGTTACCTGCCCCAGAAATGCCTGTATAATCTTTTTAAAGCCCACTGGGCTGTCTGGAGCTGTAGAATAAAAAACAGAGGCTCTGGGCAATGTGGTGGGTTGTCCCCTGGGACACAAGGCAGCCCAAGCATTCTGTTTACCGCTTCTATCCCCAGGGAAATCCCATTGGACCTCCAACACCCCTGGGGAGGAGGCCGTTTCCATCCAAGGAGTACGGGGCAGGTCTGTGGAGCTGGCCTGCCACCCTGGGCCGGCCCCACTAGTGGTCCTCTGGAGTTTCACTCCACCGGGTTCCCTGGTTCTCCGACCTGTGGCCATCACTGATGGAGCTTCTTCAAAGGTGGAGGCTGGGGCCTCAGCTTTGGGAGTCGTGAGTCTAAGGAACAGCAGCCTGGTGATAGGGGAGCTCCAAGAGAGTGCCCGTGGTCACTTCCTATGCCAGACCCTGCATGTTTCTGGTGGCCAGCTCCATACCACCTACTTGTACCTCACACTAGCTGTGCTGGGTGAGACACCATGCTGGGATGTGGCTAGCCTGCAGCTTGCCTACCTGCTGCTTCAGCTCTCTGCATGCACTTCTTGTTCTCTTTGCATGTGCTAGGTCCCAAAGTTAAAGGATGACCCCACCTGGGAGTGAAAAACTCTGAAATTTGGGGGAAGGGATGTTCAAGGCCAAGTGCCAGACAAGCCCATGGCCAACAGGGGCAGAGCCACTGGACATGGTCTATAGTAACAAACCCAAGGCTTCTCCCTCCTCTGGCCAGTTCCTGTATCCAAGCCTCGGGTGCAGCTGAGTGACCCGTCCCCAGTAGAAGGAGCCTCTGTGGTGGCCATGTGTGCTGTGAGGGAAGGCACAGAGCCAGTGACCTTCTCCTGGTACCATCAAAACCCCAGAAGCCCTGGGGAAGCTCTGGTGGGTCTCCAAGATCCAAAGCTCCAGCTGGATCCAGTGAACAGAACACACCTGGGCTGGTACACGTGCAGTGCCCACAATGCTGTCAACCAGCTGAGCAGTGATGGAGCCTTCCTGGATGTCATCTGTGAGTTAGATTTGGCACACTGGCACCCCTCTACCCACCCATGCTTGGCTTCCAGTCCTATGTCAGAACTCCCCAAATTCTTTTGCAAGAAGGCCCAGCCTTCCAGAAACTCTAAAAGGCAAGTGATATCAGATGCTATTTCCACTGGGGCCAGATATGCCTCTCACGCCAAGGTTCTTAACTTTTGAAAGCCAGGAGTCCCTCTTCCTAGGGAAATATGCATATATTCACATACAAGGTTTTACTTACAATTTTGGGAGTGACCTGAAAAGTTGGTCTTTGCACTGAGCGTGGAGGGCTCAAAGTGATTGACAGAACCCTGAGGGAGCAGGGAGAAAGGTCATAAGACAGAGGGGGCAGCAAGCTGGTTCAACAGCTGAGGCTGGAGTCACAAGTTAGAAATCAGAGGCTGAAAGCTGAGGACAAGGCTGCACCAGGCCCAGTGTGGTGGCCACCGGTGTGTCCTTGATCACCTGGGAATGTAGCTGTCCAGACTTGAACTATGCAGTAAGTATAGAATGCATGCTTGATTTTGGAAACTTACTCTAAGTGAGAAAATATAAAATAGCACATCAATAACTTTTATATTGGTTATATATTGAAATAATATTCTAGATGTATTTGGATAAAGGAAATAATAAAGTTAAAACTGGCATGTTGTTTGTTTAGATTTGGTAATTTTTTTATTAGTATTTGGCTACTAGAAATTTAAATCAACACTGTAGCTCCATATATCTATTGAGCAGTGTTGGTAGAGAGGAATTTGTTTACTTGCTCGCTTTTTGGTTTTTGTGAGACAGGATTTCATATAGCCCAGACTGGCCTTGAACTCCTGATCCTCCTGCCTCCACCTCTCAAGGCTAATATACAGGGCTGATATACCACACCCAGCACTGCTCTAGAGGTTTCACCTGTCATAAACTTGGTAGTTTTGGGGAATTATGGACTGATGCCATGGAGGAATAAGGTGAATCTGGGGAAGGAAGTGTTCACAGAATGGAGATAGGCAGACACTTCCATCCCATCTGGGCATTGGACAGAATGTTAAGAGTGGAGATCCCAGTCTTGGAAATCAAGAAAGAAGAAGACAGGCACCAAGTCAAAAAGGCTGGCTGCAGGCCTTGTGCTCAGCATGTTGTCCCGCTGTGTTTTCTTCCCTCTGTAGTCTAGAGTGGTCATCTAGAGTCGCCAGGTAACCCCTCAGTCCTGGGCATCCAGGTCAAGCTGTTCCCCAACCTCTCATCTGCCTAGTATGCCCCTGGTCTTAGCCCAACCCTGCAGTTCCTCAAAGGAGTCCCCAGAGTCCAAGCTTACTTCCTAGAACACAGAGTTTCTGCCTCCAGCAGCCTTGCCCATCCTGCACTCTACTGTGCCTGTGACATCCCAGACTCTGAGCAGCTAGAGGCATTGGCATGGGGGTTACAGAGAGTATATACTACACACTCTTGGGATGTATGAACAAATTGAGCAACAGTAACCTGAGTGAATGAGGAGACGAAGGCTAGAGCAGTATGATGGACCTTCCTTGTCCTCCAGATGGTCCAGACAAGCCTGTCATCACTGTGGAGCCACTGGGATTAATTGAAGATGGATTCTGGGCCAGTGAGATGGAGGAGGTGACACTGAGCTGCCTGGCTGCATCCAACCCTCCTAGTCACTATGTGTGGCTCCATGATGACACTCAGGTCCACACTGGGCCCACCTACATCATTGCCAGTGCTAGCCGCACCCACACAGGCCTGTACACCTGCCTAGCTCACAACGGCCGCCTAGATACCCATACCCAGACCACTGTCCAGCTCACCATCTACTGTGAGTGTTGGGTGAGAGGGCACCTAAGTCTGGAGTCCACCCAGGCCTGTACTGGGGCTTTCTCCAGCCATCCTGGGAGAAGTGGTGTCAAAGTTGCTGATGGTTGGGGAGGGGTTATCTAGAGAACCTGGTGGAGTTGCAGAGCCAGGGAGAGGTGAAGGAGAGCATGGGAGGAGGCAAAGAGAGGGGAGGCTCCTGCCCTTACATAGTCCCTCCCCAAAGTACTTATTCCTATGAGGCCTGGACTGAGGCACAGAGAAGGGTAAGGTAACAACGAGGCCAGGTACGCAGGGGCAAAGATGAGAGCCAAGGGCCTTCCTGCAAGGGCCTCTGGGAATCCACAGGGGTTCTGAACTGTGTGCTCCTCAACCTCTTGTTCCTTGACCTGAGGGCTCAGCATTTTCCTCACTGACCCCCAATTGCCCACTTCTCCCAAGTGTCCTCTTCTCCTTTGACACCCCAGACCTTCACATCCCCACCTGGGGCAGAGTTGTAGGCACTGGTGGGGGACCTGCTTCGGCTCCTCCTCACTCAATTCTCTATTCAGATCTCCCTGAGGGGCAGCCCTCCTGTACTGTGCTCCCCAACCTTGGGGCTGTGACTCTGCTTTGCACCTGGCCTGGGGGTTTTCCAAGTGCCCAACTGCATTGGGAAGGGCCCCAGGGGACTGGCCCTACTGCCCCCAGCTATGTCACCTGGAGCTATGCAGTCACTGGACTCCCCAATGGCAGTGTCTTCACCTGTGCTGGACAACACCCAGCCCTGGCTCTGCCCATCCTCTGCAGAGTCACTCTCTGTAAGTAGACACAGGTGACAGCCAGGGTCCTGATATTATAGGCAATGTGGGTAGGAGTAAGGGAAGAGTCAGAAGGGCCTGGGACCTGGAATGAAGCTCTGGACCTCTGGTTCCAAGATGTTTCAGGGAATAAGGAGGTGGGTAGCATTCAACCTTCAGTTTCCTGTCCACCCTGTGGTCTGAGCTCCTCAGTTCCCGCTCAGAACTCTGGCCCTATGGCACCCTCAATGTTACACTCTGCTTCTATCACATGTTGGTCTGGAAATATATCTTCAGTGCTCCCCTGCCCAATGTGCTTTTCTGCCTCCTTTTATGACACCCACGTCCAAGATAGAGTTTAAATGTGAGTCTGTCTTCCCAAAGCCCCAGACTGTCTTTCTATACTCTAGCACTCATTAACTTGCATAGTGACTGCTTAGTGTCTCCCGCCATTGTTCTGCCACATGGAGAAATGATGAGAAATGAGTGGAGGAGTAAATGAAGGATGGGAAGGTGGTTCTGCCAAGCCCTTCCTCTTTCCACATGACCATGCTAGTCAAGAATATAGTCAGGTACCTCCCTTATGCAAATAGATGCAAATGAGAAATACAGCCAACATCCCCATATCACTCTTTTCCAGGGGAACCTCCTGGGAGCCCTACCTGCCGGACCACGGCCACTGTAGGTGACCAGTTCATCATGCTGAGCTGCGAGTGGCCTGGAGGCGAACCCTCTGCGGTGCTGACCTGGATGGACAGACATCAGCAGTCCCTGGGTGGCCTCAGCTCTTCACTGGCTGTCCATCTTCTGCAGGCCCAGGGTGATCTGGCAGGCAGAGAGTTCACCTGCCGTGGCTCTCACCCACTTAAGGCCCCTGTGTCCCACTGCCAGCTAAGGCTGGGTGAGGAGGGTCTAGAGACAGGGTTCTGGGGCTTGGGCACAAGAAACCCTTCAGAATCAGGACTGGAGTTCTGGAGGGGAGCAGTGCTGAACTGGGAAGTGAGTCAGAAGAGAGCCAGATTCACTTCCTCTGAAGGGACTCAACTTAGTATTTATTTGTTTATTTATTAGTTTTTAAAAATTTGTGTATGTATGTGGCACACCCATGCCACTATGTGCATGTGGAGCTCAGAGGACAATGTATGAGAATCAATTCTCTCCTTCCACTATGTTGAGTTCTAGGGATCAAATTCGGGTTACCAGGCTTGGTGGCAAGTACCTTTGCCCACCAACCCATCTTGCCAGCCCCTCAAAACTTTTAATCCATAAAATGAGGGAGGTTGGTCTAGGTCAGTGTTGTCCAATAAAAATGTAATGCAAGCCTTATATGTAATTAGTTGCCACATTAAAAGTGTAAAAAGAAGTAAAACATTTAATATATCTAAGATTCATTCAATGTAATAACAGTTCTTTAATATATCTAAGATTCATTCAATGCAATAACAGTTCTTTATGAGTATTTTACATTTTCTTGCTGTCTTGAAAATGCAACATATTTATAATTACTGTACATCCCAAAGCAGCTTGACCTCACTCCAAGTGCTCAATGGTCATATGCGGCTGGTGGCTATGGGTGGCATTGTACATCGTTGGGCAGCACTGATATAGATGATATGGATACTGGCTGTATTTCTCATTTGCATCTATTTGCATAAGGGAGGTACCTGACTATATTCTTGACTTTTTTTTTTGATGTTTCAGATATCAACGACCTCTCTACCT